TTGAGGTGTCACAGATAACACAGTGCCTCTCATCCTACTTCGGTCCCTGCCACGGATGGATGCATCTCCAAGGCATATATGTGTGTCCGTCCGTCCTTCCTTCCTTCCTTCCTTCCTTCCTTCCTTCTTTCCTTCCTTCCTTCCTTTTCTGTTTCTTATTTTTCATTTTATTTTGTATGCAACTCAGGCTGGCTCAAACTCACAGCAATCCTCCTGCCTCAGCCTCCCAAGTGCTGAGATCACAGGCATGCGCCACCTGGCCGAGCAAGGATTGTGCTTTTTGGCCTGGGGCCCATTTGAGCGTCCCCTGGGCCTCTATGCAGCCAAAAACCCTCAGCCTGACTCTCCCTCAGGGGACCCTTGGTGACTTAGCCTCTCCCTACATCCCAGCACCCTCCCTGGGCTTGAGGGGGCTGCTAAGAGCTGCTCTGGGGGTGCCTGTGCTGTCCTGGAGCTCCCTGAGGCTTTTAAATCAGACACCATGGGAAGTGAAGAGTTCTGGGTGGGCAGCTTGGTGGAAAGGTCCAGGCAAGAACTGATAAAGCCAGCAGGCTGGGCATGGTGGCACACACCTATGATCCCAGCACTGGGGAGGCTGAGGCAGGAGGACCTCCAGTTCGAGGCCAGCCTGGGCTGCATAGGAGAACCTGTCTCCAGACAGAAGGGGATCACTTAGTTTGAGGAGCTTGCAGGCACGGGGAGCACTTGGGACACAGGGTGGACTAAGGGTTTGGCAGGGTACCTGGGGCCTGGCATGGTGCCCACCAGGAGCTAGAGGAGGCCACAGAGGCTGTGGGGCAGGGATGGAAGATATGGAGCTGAGCCCCCGCTGTTTCCCAGGAGTGGCAGTGGTGGGGCCCAATGAGCACCCAGGAATCCTGGGTGGGCGGGTTGATCAGTGGCAGTTGGGCAGGGAATGAGAAGGGGCGCAGCCCAGTGAGAGTCCCCCTCATGGGGGTGCACATCCACAGTTCATGGCGATTCCTGTGTGCGAACCTGGCTACCTGAGCACCTTTAGCACTTTACACAGGACAGTGGATCTGGGGCACAGGGGCAGTGGTGAGAGGTGGCTTCAGGGCCTGTGCATCCTCCCCAGAGCTTCCGAGAGGAGCAGGGCCTGCCCCTTGGCCAAGCCTACAGGTAAGAAGTAGTATGGTAGCTGGGGTACTGGGTGGGAGCTTGCAATTCCAGCACTCTGGGAGGCTGAGGCAGGAGGGCTGCAAATTTGAGCCTAGCCTGGGCACCTTAGTGGCTCAGGGAGACCTTGTGTGTGAAATGTGCCACCGCAGGGGAACAGGGTAGCTGCTCAGTGCACAGAAGCCAGCTGGGGTCACCGTCACGGACCTCAGGAATTTTCCCGGGAAGGGATGGCCAGGAGAGGGGGCTCTCAGTTTGAAGAATAGAGCTGTGGCTTTCAGGAACCCCAAGAAATAAGAGGTGTGATCAAAAGCATGGTGCATGTTTAAATATATAAACATTTAATACTGTAAAAAACACACTGCCTGTGAATCCCCTCACAATCCTCTTGCTTTGATTACACTCATCCCATCGTCCTTGATGCTTTCTGTAGCAGCTCTGGACTCCTCTTTCCTGAGGGTCTTTAGCTGCTCTGTCCTGGCTGCCTCGAGGTTCTGAATGGATTCAAAACGACCCCTTTTCCTGGTCATTTTGACTTTGGGGAGGAGCCAGAAGTCACACAGTGCCAGATCTGGGGACTAAAGCAGACGAAGACACAGTGTCCTGTTTTTCCGAGCTGCCTTTCATTGCCCTCTGCCTTGGTCCCGAGAGCAGCACTTGCCAGAATTCCAGCTCCTCTGGGCCCAGGTACTCGACACCATGCTTTGCTTATCCCTTTTCTGTTATCTTTAGGTTTCAGAAAGAAATGGGCTTGAATTTTAGTTTTCTTGCACATTTTACAGGGTGAGGAAGTGAAACATGATCTGGATCTTAGATTGAGTGGGAAAACCTTTATCCTGATTCATGTGCCTACCTTGTGGAAAAACCACCAGCAAATGCTGGCTCATGTTGAAAGCCACAGTGGGCCTGATCCCGCCCACTTTATTTACATCTTATTTGCATGTTACACTGTGGACCATGCCCTGATGGAGGACGGCTTATTGACCTCACTCACTCTATGTGAACAGTCTCCTTTTTTACACTACTGTTTAAGCACATACTCTTTTGTTCCAGTTTCAGAATCTTGTTTTTCTTATGTATGGTTTTTTGGGGAGGGTTATGGGAGCACAGCGGGGATGTCTTCCCTGGAAGTTATGGTTTTATTTTTCCTTATTAGAAAGTGAAATACATACATCCAGCATGTAGGAGGCTGAGGCAGGAGGATCGAAAGGTCAAGCCCAGACTATACAATTTTAGCAACTTAGGGAGATCCTGTCTCAAAATAAACTGCAAAAGCCTGGGGATGCAGCTCAGTGCAGAGGTCCTGGGTTCAACGCCCAGTACCACTAAATTAAAAATAAATGTAGCTGAGCGTGGTGGCACACGCCCATAATCTCAGCACACAGGAGGCTGAAGCAGCAGGATCACTGCAAGTTTGAGGCCAGCCTGGGCTACACAGTGAAACCGTATTTCTAAATAAATAAGTTAAAAAAGACAGACATTAGAGGAAAAAGAGAAAATGTTAGTGTGATCCAGCATGGCCGGTGATTTAACAAAGTTGTCTTATGTGTTTAATATGTTTTTTGGCCTCTTAGTCTGGCTGTTTAATCTGTTTTGATGATGATGAACTTGATAAAGGCTTATAATGTAAATAAATCTGGTGCCGGCAAAAAGAAGAAAACCCTTAAAAATGGGGGTGGAGGGGAAGGGAAAGGAAAACCGCACCGTGAGTGTGCTCCTCACCGTGAGTGTGCTCCTCACGCCTGCAGGTGTGCACTGATAACAAAAATAAATAGATGACTAAATAAATATGCCGCACACACTTGACACAGCACTTCCCCTGCGCCGGCCTCTGCGAAGAGCGTCATGCACTCGCGCTGGCCCTGGTGCCGTCTCCCTTTAACAGGTGAGGGCTGGGTTACACAGCCAGGAGGCTCGGAACCGCGGCAGCAGGGCAAAGCCGCCCAGCCCGACAGAGCCCGCTCTCCCTGTGTGGCTCCTCCTTGCTTTTCGCGCCTGCCTGGTGCTCTTTCCTCTCCTAGCCCTGCCCTCTGAGGTGGCCCGGCTTGCGCAGCCCTCACTCGCGAAGCCCCCTCCCTTCCTCCTGGCGAGCTCCCTGGAGGGGTCTGTTCCCCACAGCTCTTTTCTTCTTCCTTTGGTTTAGTATTCTTTTTCCCAGTACTCGAGGGGGAGCCAGGGCCTTTGTACTGAGCTGCATCCCCAACGCTTTTCATTTTCTTTTTAATTTTGAGACAGGGTTTCTTCAGTCCGTAAATGGCCCAGCCTGCCCTCACACTTGTGATCTTTCTGCCTCAGCCTCCCCAGTGCTAGGATGACAGGTGTTTGCACCCAGCCCTGGGTGGTTTTTCTTATCTCCTTGAACTTGGTCTTGGGGAACAACTCACTTTTAATCCATAGGGCCATCTGGTGAGGTGCGCCAGAGTGCGTGTCCAGGAAAACAAAGCAAAGTGGGAAAGAAACGAAGTGAGGATGTGGCTGGAGCGTCTCAGACTCTTCTGTCTCCTTCATCTCCTGTCGTCCAGATATCTCCTGAGGCAGGGTCTCTCTGTAGACCAGGCTGGCCTCACATTCACAATGATCCTCCTGCCTCAGCCTCCTGAGTGCCAGCACTAGGCAGGAGCCGCCACACCCAGCTCAATTTCAGTTATTATTTTTAGCAAATTAATTTTGTTTTGCTTTTCAACATCCTTTTTTTGCTGTCATTCTCTAACCATCTCTCTTTCACAGCTCTGTTCTGCTTTGCTTTTATGAGTGATGTCTCTCTCCAAATCTCCGTGAGGTCCTGACATATGGGTTTCTTCCTATGCATTGCTCCTCTGCTTCCTTTTATTTATTTATTTTTTTCATTTCTCCTGGCCTCCAGGCTCCCTGATTTTTATGCTTTCTCTTTAGCACTGCAAGCTCTACTCAGATGTCCTGGCCTGCTGTCTGAGTGCGTTTATTTAGCATGGGCGGGAGGGGGTCCAGGTGGCAGAGGTCACCCTGAGAGAGAAACCCTGCCCAGCACCACCTTGGGGACAGCGTGGCCCCAGGGTCTCAGCCAGCTGTGTGACCCTGGAGAGCTTGTGGAAGGGTATAGTGCTGGGTGGAAGTGGTTTGCAAGTATTACAGATTCCGCTCATCCTCTGCTGTGGGATTAACCAGATGTGCTCCTTCTGCACCTGACAGTGCAGGCGCCTCTGGCTCAGAACAAGTCGGCAGCGAGGCTCTGGAAGCCACTACCTGCCTCCGGACAGCGGCACTTGCTCTGTAGCATGTGGTCCTAGTGGCATCTATGCCGAGGACACGAGCCAGAGACTAGGGACAGCCCTTGCTCTAAGATTGAGTCCCCCTCTCCACCCCACTTTGCCACCAAGCTTCCAAAAGGCCCTTGGGGAGCGGCCCCCAGGATGGGCTGTGATTTTCTAGGCCTGAAACCAAGGCCTCTTTTTTTCTTTCTTTTTTATTTATTTATTTATTTTTTTGTGGTACTGGGAATTGAACTCAGGAACTTGTGCTTGCCAGGCAGGCACTTATATCACTGAGCTATATCCCCAGCCCAAGGCCTTTTTTCTTGAGCGGCAGGAGCCTGGGGTCTCCAGGACTCGCCTGACCTGGGGCATCCGTAGGGCTGTTGGGTTGAATCTGTGGAAACTGCTAGGCAGAGGCAAACTGAACTGTATACACAGTGAGACCCTGTCTCCAAACCAAACCAAACCAAACCCCAGCGAGAAGTAGGACTCCAGAGGCTCCTCAGCTCCCGCTGTGTTGGCCATGCTCCGTGCGGGCCCAGGGCTGTCGCAGTCTTTGTCCCTCCTCTGGGGCTGCCAGATGCTGAGGTCATAACCACAGCGAGGACATCATAATCCTGCCCCCAGCAGGGAGCTGCTCTCGCAGCCCCCACAAGCAGGGCACGGGACAGCGGGCAGTGGAGGCCCCCGGCGAGGGGGAGAGGCGAGGGGGCTGTGTGGGGGCAGGGGCGCTGGCCATGCCCGCCCTGACCACAGCCCCTCAGGGGCGGCCCCGCCTGCTGTGGGCCAGGGGCTTCGCACGGACCCAGGTCAGGGTCCATGGGTGCTGAACAGGGCCTACCCGGTGCCTTCGCAGAGACAGAGACACAGCACCCCCGGGCTGCTAAGGTAGGGGGGTCGGGCGGCGCTGAGCAGTCTCCCCAGGAGGACAGTCGGTCACAAATCTCAGAGAGACTGGAGCCCTGGGAGTCTGATTCCTGTTGAGTTACTCCCAACTTAGAGACGGCACTTTCGTTTTGTTTTGTTTTGGTTTGTTTTTTTGAGACAGGGTCTCACTATGGAGTCCAGGTTGACCTTGAACTCTTGGCAATCCTCCTGCCTCAGCCTCCCTAGAGCTGGGGTGACAGGCGTGTGCCTCTACGCCTGGCACTGGCTCCATCTTTTAAATGTAACTGGATACCAGGTGCCTTCTCTTGGGGCTCTTACGAATGGTGAACGATGGTCCCTATTTGCAAAATGCCAATTACACAATATGCTTCACTTTTCCTTCTTTTCATTTTTTTAATATTTTGAGACAAGGTTTCTCTGTGTAGCCCAAGATGTCCTTGAACTCTCTTAGCGATCCTCCTGCCTCAGTCTCCAGAGTGCTAGGATTACAGGCATGTGCCACCACGCCCGGCTCCTACTTGATCTTTTAAAATTATATACAGCCGCCTTCTTTTTGTTTTCCCCATCCCCTCCCTTCCTTCCCTTCAGCTACAGTGGGGATTGAACCCAGGGCCTTGTAACTGAGCTACATCCCTAGCCAGTTAAAATGTTTTTTCTTTTTTTGCCAAGTCATTGAAGGGCTTGAGCTAGGGCTCAAACTAGCAATCGTCCTGCCTGCGGCTCCTGAGTGCTGGGATTATAGATATGCACCACCATGCCTGCTGGGCGTGACATTTTGAGCCCTAAACTACCTGTATTTGAACCCATTGTCTGTTTATGTATGTATGTGTGTATGCATGTTTGTATACCTTTTGAGGTCCCAGAGATTGAACCCATAGCCTTCATAAGGAGCTACATCCTCAGGCTGTTTGTTATTTTTCATTTTGGGGCAGGGTCTTGCTAAAGCCCAGACTGGACTTGAACTTTTGATCCTCCTGCCTCAGCCTCCCAGATGCTAGGATTACAGGTGTCCAATACCCTGTCCAGCCAGGTTGCCTAACGTCATGGAGCAGAAGTGCCACGATGGGGTTGGGCCCTTCCAGGAGCTGGCTTGACGTTATTGCAAGCCACACGCAAATGAGGGGAAACTTTGTCTTGGGCCTCTTGGGGTGTCGAGTAGGGTCATGTTCCAGCGTGGAGCCTGCTTGGCAAGGGTCCCTGAGCTGCTGTTTCTCCTCATAGGCCTGCCTCGAAAAGAAAACAAACTGCCTGACCCAACTCACCACGTAGAACTGGAACTCAGGCCAGACGTGGTGCTGAACGCTGCCATCCCAGCACTTGGGAGGCTGAGGCAGGAGGACTGTAAGCTCCAGCTGGGCCCGGGCTACACAGTGGGCTTAAGGGCTGCATGGCAAGAGCTTGTCTCAAAAATCCAGAGCCAAACCAAACCAATCAAAAACAAAAGCAAAACCCCCCAAACCAAAAGAGCACCAACTTCTGAAAGTTCCCTACAAAAAACACCCCGCGTGACGCCACTTCCTTCTGTAACAAGCTTGGCAGCAGGAAACACTGGATGAGGGTGAGGGCTGTTGTTTGCAAACTGACTGCGCAACGATCACTATTGCTGGCTTCGCTGAGGGCTTTTGCTTTTTTTGGATTTTGTTTGGTTTGAAATACTGGGGATTGAATCCACTGAGCCACAGCCCTAGCCCTTGTTATCTTTTATTTTGAGACACGGTTTGGCTAAATTGCTAAATTGCCCAGGCTGGGCTCAAATTTGCCATCCACCTGCCTCGGCCTCCCAGAGGGCTGATTACAGCCACAGTGCCTCCCAGTTTTCCTGCTGGCAAGGGGACTCTGAGGTGGCTCTGCGGCCCCCATCCCTCTCCCTCTTATGGCTGGGAGCTGTGAGACTTGTGACAGCGACCCAACCCACACCTGTTTCCCAAGGTTGCAGAGGACCGAGGTGTTTTCACTCCTGCTGGGACTCCAGCCCAGGGGAGCACCCTGTGTCTGCCAGTACGACAGGCAGCCCTGTCCCGAGACGGATTCTTGCCTGCTGTCACGGGCCATGTTGAGGCCTTGACCTCACTTTGTAGCCCAGACTGGACTGAAACTTGTGGCGATCCTCCTGCCTCAGCCTCTCCAGTGCGGGGCTTAGAGGCATGTGCCATCATGCCTCACACTAGAATTTAAAAGCCAAGGCAGCCCTGTGCTGGGTGTTAGTCCTCCTCAGCCTCAGAGCGGACCCCAGTTAGGGGCACTTAGACTCCACTTCCTCGGCAATGAGACTGAGGCTTGGGAATCCAGCACGCTGGGTCTCCGGCACCTCCTCCCTCCCCAGAGTGGGCTGCCGCTCTCAGGTTCCCGGATTGGCCCAGGGGATCGCCTCAGCGGCTGAGTCACAGGTTAAGGAGGCAGGTGGCGGACACAGCGCGGGGCCCCAGGGGCTCCCGACGGCCGCGGCGTCCAGGTGGTGGCGCTGACTCCCACCGCAATCTGACCCGGCCTCGGGCTCTGGGCTGGAGCTCGGAGAGCTTTTGTTTCTTTTGCCTTTGCTTGCTTCCACAGCTTTAGACAGCCTCACCCCTATCTCCAAATCTGAATAATTGCGATAGTTGAAATCCTCTCTTTCTCTCTCTCTCCCTCACTCCCGCCCTCCCTTGCTCCCTTCCTGTCTTGAGACAGGGTCTCTCTGTGTAGTCCAGGCTGGCCTGGAGCGCACTGTGTAGCCCAGGCTTCACTCCAAAGCGGTTAGCTCTCCTGCCTCAGTCCCCTGAGTGCAGGGGTCACCGTGTTACCCAGCTTGTAGCACTCCCTCCCCTCCCTTCTCTCCTGTCTTCCTTTCCTCCCTTCTCGGCTTTTCTTGCACAAGACCTACAGATCTCCACACCTCAGGACGGGACAGGAGCGCTTCCTCCATGCCTAGGCTGCAGGAGAGAAGCCGGGGTCTGGGGTCCGGGAGCTGTCGGAGTCCAGCCCAAGCTGGCTGTGGTCCTGCCCTGTCCCGCCCCTGCTGGGTCACCGCCCTGAGTTGCTGCGTTTTGCTCCGAGCTGGGGCCTCTCCCTGGAGCTGGGGCCTCTCCCTGGAGCTGGGGCCTCTCCCTGGAGCTGGGGCCTCTCCCTGGGCAGGAGCAGTGGCCCTTGAAGGCCCGGGCAGCAGCCGGGCCTGGTGCCTGTGGCGTGCACTCCGGTGTCCATCTCCGTGCAGCGAGGGGCCCACAGTCCCGCATGAGGCTCTCCCTGGAGCAACCTCTGCACGCCATCCAGCACCTTGCTCTACCCCCCAGGCCCTCAAGGTCTGGCACTGCCACCCTCCCTGCCGCAGGACCTCTGTACCCTCGGTTTGGCCTGGAGGTTTCTGGTCACACGAGGCGTCTTCTGACCCGGGGTCCTGGGGGCTATGAGCTGGGCAGTCACAGTGTGGCTGCCTTGGTCATCAGGTCAGTGGGGGGCCAGGGAGAGTGACCATGTGCCTTGCAAAGCATGACAGTCATAGCTGAGGTTAAAGAGAGGCAGCTGAGGGTCAGGTAGGGAAGGGGTGCACGGCCCGGCAGATGACTCCGAGCTGCCCTCACCCCGCTCCTGGGGTGGCTGACACCTGAGGGGGATTAAAACACCCCTGATGGTTTAAATCTCCAATAGGTGAGCTGCAGGAAGAGACACACGGCTGGAAATCCCCTCAAAATCCTTCCCCAGCTTCGCACACACTTGTCCCATTGTCCTGGCCGCTTTCTGCAGCAGTTCTGGGGTCCTCTTTCCTGAGGGTCTTTACCAGGTGGGATCACAGTGAGTGCTGCTGCCATCCAACAGAAAGGCAGCTCGTAAACACGTGACGCTGTGTCCTCACCCACCTTCGTCACCAGATCTGGTACTGTGTGACTTCTGGTTCTTCCCCAAAGCCCAAATGGCCAGGAAAGGGAAACGTTTTGAATCCATTCAGGACACTGAGGCAGGCAAAACAGCGAAGCTAAAGATCCTCAGGAAAGAGGACTCCAGAGCTGCGGCAGGAAGCAGCAAGAAGTTCGGGGATGGTTGTGCACGCCTGTAATTCAAGTACTCTGGAGGCTGAGGCAGGAGGATCGCTAAGAGTTTCAAGTTTGAGACGTCTGGGCTACACAGAGAGACCCTGTCTCAACCTCCTCCAAGGAATGCAGCATGGGAGGAGTGCGCTCAAAGCCGGGGCCGGATTTTGAGGAGGATTCATGGCAGTGAGTCTTTTACTGTAATAAATTTATAAATATTAGACATCCACCGTAGTTTTCGATCCGTCCAGGCCGCTGAAATGCCGGACCCTGGTTTCGGCTAGGGAGCAGAGAGGCGGCCTGAGGGCCCCAGCCGGGGAAGCCGAGGCAGGCAGTGGTGCAGGGCCAAAGGCCGCGATCAGGGCCGGCACTGAAAGCGGCCGCGCCGCCGCACCTCCGAGTCCCCCTGGCGCCGCCCCGCGG